ATTAGCTGGTGATTGCTGGTTATGTAATGCCACATGATGAAGCTCAGGTTTCTGAGGACAGGTGACAAAAAGACAAAGACAGAGAAGGGAGTTGAAGTGAAAAGTGTAGCTTCTATTGTTACTGGCTTCGAGAGGAGACCATTTACTGTTTCTCAGTTTGTGGACAGTTTGGGAGTTTTGTGTTTTTAAAGTGCGTGTCAGGACTGTGTTTTGCTGTGGCAGTCTAAAAGACAACATGAAATTGCACCCACAACTGTAATAAATGTGACCTATGTATGAGTCAAATTGCATATTTAGTGACAAATAATTTAGAGTGCGATAAAGTCTTATCATCAGGATTTGTTTTAATAGTAAAAAGTAGACCGGGTACTGATTACATCAACAGAAACATTGTTTTAGAGAGGAGGTCAAGGTTTTGCACAGAAAGAACAGAGAAATTAATACTTTTATTCAGCAAGAATGCTTTTAATTGATCAAAAAGGCATACAATGTTAGAAAAGCCTTCTAATAAAGGCTGTTCTGAACTTTCTATTCATCAAAAAATGTTAAAATAAAATGTTTTATAATGCAATGCAAGTGCATGTTGCAATTCACAGCGTTGCCACAAGAGTTGTTACAGTGAGCATTAGAATAAATTGTCTTCCTCTATGGCCAGTTTTCTCCTTTTGGTCATGGCAAATCAGGGCTATGTTCCATTTCGCTTTAGACGTACATTCTGCAAACTTCCCTAATCACTTCCTCCCGGGGGAATCCCTGCAGTTGTTTTGGAAGTGTGTTCCACTTTGCACACGGGTTCCGCTATAGTGGACACTCACGCTCTATAAGCAGTGATGCACATCCAAGTCTATGAGATGGAGGGAAGTTAGCGTGAGAAGGGTATAAATACTTTGAAGTGGAATGCAACCCAGAAATTTAATACAAATATCTTAATCAGTATTTGTGCTGTTTTCAGTTAGAATATCTAAACATTTGCATAATAAGGTCTATATCCATGGGAAGCAATTTATTTTTAAAGTTTGTTTCTCTTTATTTTTTTATTTTGTATTTTTTGCTTGCTTTAAGCATAAATCTAAAAAAAAACTGCCAGTGACATAAGCAAAATTTGTCTTGTTTAAGGGCATTTAAAAACATTTTTAAAGCAAAACAAAAATACTGATTAACAATTTTTTGCATGCTTTTGCAGTTTTTGTATCTGCTCTAATAGCTCAGACATTTGAAGGTAACTGCATCTCCCCTCTTTCAGAAATGAGGTTTGTCAGCTCCACAGTAACGTCTGCGTTTGTGTACTTGAGTAGAGCATGTTTCTGGCCTAAATAAGAAAGCAATTTGGGTTAATTTAACAAAGTTGTCTTTAACGCAGTATGTCTCAGTGTTCTCCTGACAAACCGCATAAACATGAACTAAACTCAAGGCCTTTGTATTTCTCACACACACAACACTTCTTTGCCCACAGACTCTCTCTTTCTGTCACACACAAACCCCATCTTGCTCATTTCCTTTCTCACTCGCTTCTCATTTCGTCCTTGACCAGCCAAGAATGCCATAAATGTTTGACATTGCAATTTTTCTCCAATTCCAGCATCCCTCCTCATTCTCGCCCATCCTTCTTTTTTTCTTTTTGTCTGTCTTTCATTCTGCTCCTTCTGTTGACAGACATCCATATGACCATTTGCATCCAGGTGAAATGGGAATGCATTGTTTACTATTTCAAAACCCTACGCACACCTTCCTACAAATGCATTTCCATCCCTCTCTCCTCAGATAAGACTTCAGCTGCCCTATCCTCATTTTTCCTCCCTCTCCGTCTCTCTATCTCTGTCTCTCTCTCTTTCAGGTGAGGCAGTTTTTCCACAATGCTTTCTATTCACGTCAAACACATTTCAAATACAGCTCAGATTTCCACTACAAACCCACTGCAAGGACACAGAGCTGTGCATGAGAAAAAGGGGAGAACTGAGCTCTGCGATGCTGTCCCATCCCCCAGTGTGTTTGTGTATACATACATACATACACATATATATATATATATACTCTGTGTGTGTGAAAGAGAGAGAGACCAATATTATGTTTTGTCAAAAAATACATCTTAATATTTCTGTAAATTGTAGTTTTTAAAAATTTCTAAATATTATTTGTATTTCAATTACTTTTGAGAGTCACATTGCAGCTTGTGAGGTTTATGGTCTCTTAATGTGACCACCACCTGCCTGAATATTGCAGTTCTCTAGGAATGCAATCCAAGGCATCATTAATCCACTAAACAAGCAGTGCGGTATGCAGGTATGAGGGAGAGATGAGTCACACAACAATCCTATGCACTAATACCTGTATAAATGCAGCAATAACTGCATACTTAAAATTCATAGTTGTAAAACCACTTGTATTTGTTGTACCTGTTCAGCTGGCACCTAATGAAGAGTAACACTTGGTGGCCCTCAGGTAATGCGTGTCTGAGAACCCTGGTGTATTGAAATTATAATTAGCATTATATAAAAGCAATAGAAGTAGTATTTAGATAGCTAAACTATTATTGTGTGTGTGTGTGTGAGTGAGAGAGAGAATATGCAGGATCTGTTGTCTAACAAAGGAAGTCATCTCATAAATTAACTAGATTTCTCTGAAGGAGTGTCAGGAAATGATGGAGGTTCAGGTCTTGGGATGTTCGTCGGTAATGAAGTTTATAAGATGAAAATGTGTGCGTGTTGGATGTCAGGAGCCCACGCTGGGCAGGCTTCGGTCAATTGTTTGTGTGTCTGTGTGTGATGAATAGCCCCGCCACCAAATGAATTGCCCGCAGTGGGTGCCGCAACTGATCATTGCATTAAATTGGCACTGGAAGCAAGGAGCAAAGACCCCTGGGAAATTAGCCAACCACAATTCACCTTGACCCAGTAGGCCACACGTTCACGCTCACTCACATGAGCTTGAATGTTCACAAGCATTAATGCACAGCATATGAACACGTCGATTCCCCAGGTAATGGTAATGCTAACATGTGTCTCTCTCTCTC